TTAATATTTTCAAAGACTTATATCAGGGTTAATAATGAAAAGCACAGGTGGGTGGCTTGAGGAAATGACCAGATAATAACACATTGCATATCAGCAGCACTGGGATTCCAGGCATTCAGATTGCTAAGGCATGGAAATGAAAATTATTAATCAAAGGAAATCATTCCAATATACTAACTAGGTTTATTAAACTATTCTACTAGTTATAGTGAAACTATGATTTTAATACTATACAACATACTGAAATATATCTCTAAAGTAACTGGGGAGCATCCAGACCTCATAAAAAATGAGTCAGTGTTCTCTCACTGCCATTTTTGTCCCTGTAAGTCAACAGTGGTCTTTAAATGTCCAGGATACTCTGTCTATAAGCTAATTTTATAGCAAGCTTAAAAGTTTTAAACTACTGAGGTAGGAACTGAACTATTTTCAAAGACAATATGCTTTTCCACTGACTAATTTCATACAAAATGCACAACATTAGAGTACTTTGTATTGACTGCTCCTCGTTTTTTAGTCACTCAGTCCTACAAAAGTGCTCTCTGCGATGACCTGATATTTTGCTGGGAGTCATAAGATAACAGAATAAAACCATGGTTGCTTCTGTGTGTTTGGTTGCCACACCACATTTTCACAGAAACATTTTAATCTGATTAATTTTGGTATTGGTAGATGTTTCAGCATAGGTATTTACTAGTCAGATTTTCTTCCAAATAATATCTACACAGAAAAACATCAGATTTAATCTTGAAATGGAAAATTGAGTAGCAAAGGCAGGCTGGAAGGAAAGCGAGATACACTTGACTATTACATATTTAACACACAGAAAGAGAAACTGGGGCATCAACATGAAAGAACATTGTAGACTACAACTTCTGCATGAGAGGAAGAGGAGGGGCAGGCACTGATCTGTTCTTTGTGGTGACCAGTGACAGGACCTGAGGGAATGGCCTGATAAGAGTTCAACAAGCATTTGGATGATACTCTCAGGCACATGGTGTGACTCTTGGGGATGGTTCTGTGCAGGGCAAGAAGTTAGACTTGATGACCCTCGTGGGTCCCTATCAACTCAGCATATTCTGTGATTCTGTGAAAACTTTGCTCATCAGGAGATGTATGTGTTTATCAAGCTGTATTGTTACAGTGCTTGAGCACTGATTATCAGATGTTAGCAGTAAATGAAATTCCCGTAACCTGCTAAGGCATGTCACATTTTCTTGTTGGTTATACTGTGTTCTGTCAAATTGTTTATTCTATCTTCTCTATCTTTAAGGTTTCTTGCCAGACCAGAAATCTGCCTTATCTTAGAATTCTTATAACTTCCTTTTACTGACTTACAACAATTAAATTAACTTTATCAATCCAGGTTGTCTAGTTTTATGTTGCATGTGAATATAATTTCTCAGTAGCTCAGCTGTGCATTCAGTTCCACAGCCTAGACCTTCATTTATTCCAATAACCCCCTGGAAATCAGATGACTATAACATAGCAGCAGCTTTAAATACACAGCAAGAACACTTGGAAGGGTAAAGGACATAATGGTATAAATTCCGTGTGTTGCCATGTGACAAGGCTATAGAAGGCTAATTAATCTTCATGTAGCTATGGAGATTTTGAAATAAGTAATTTTAAAGCACAATTAAATTTTTTTTCCAAATTGACTTTTCGTGTGACCAGACTTAGGTTAACTTGGGGTCTTCAGGTGAAAAGGAAATACCGAGGCCATTGCATACTTCAGTTATTTCCATTCTTTTCAGAGCTAATACATATTCCTGCCTAGTGCCAGACAGAATATTTCAGTTGGTGGTACTTATATTTAGCTAAGTGAGAAGCATTAATCACCATTTCCTGACATAGCACCCTTGAAAAACGCTAAAGTACTTCTATTTAAATTTCATTCACTCAATCACTTTAAAAAAAATTTATTTCTATGGAATATTAGTGTGGGGATTTGAACTGGTGGTTTGCTTTACTAAATAGATTCCCATAAATACAATTAATTACAGCCATCAGATAGATTTCTACATTAGATTGGAATGTATGTCATCTAATAATATATCTCACACTTGTAAAGGCTAATTGGTCATTAAAATGACCTCCAGCTTCCGTAGTTAAAGAATTCCTACTTGTAGAAGGGACAAGTCACATTCAGTCAATACAATGCAGGTTATGTTTTATCTTTGATCTTTTCACCTACACTCAGCCCAATATTGAGTTTCTCTGAGACATATTTTAACAATCAAACTCACTGGACAGTTAGGTTTCTATAATTTCACAGACCAGAATGAAAATTTTTATTTTCCAAAGCTCCTACATTATGGAATTTACAGGACTATGTGAGTCAGCCTTAATTTCTTTTAGGAGGTTTTCTGATGAAAGTTAGGCTCAGATCTTGCATTATAGAATGAACACACCACACTGCAAATCTGAATCTCTGTGTATATATAATAAGCAGTCTCTTTCAGAATTTGCATACTAACACAAAGCCGGCCTCCTCATCCCATTTTGATTACACCTACCTACAGCTCATACCCGGTCTGCTTCACACCCACTTTTCTCATTACTTCCAACTGACTGCCGTGCATTCTCTTATAATGTCAACAACTTTTCTGCTCTAGTTTATGTAGGTGGTAATAAAGAAAATAAAATCCAGTCACCACACTCTCACATCTTGCACTCAGGATAAAAGAAGATAAACAATGGGAGGGAGCACTAGCAGAGAAATTTCTGTCTAGCCTCAGCTATTTGAAGCTCAAATACACTCAGAAAAAAATGTGCTGTTCAATAAAGCAGGCTTTCATAAACCCCAAAGTACACGAAGGACATACAAGAAGGGCATCCCTGATTAATGGCACGACACAGCTCAGATATCCTCCAAGCCCTTGCTGAAGTGCTTGGAGATGTCTAATAATGTAACATGACCAAAATATCCCATGCTTTTCTAATTTATTTTTTTTAAACACAGAAGTAATTATTTTCTGAATTTTCCAACAGCTCTTTAACTGGTGGAAAAAAAGTTATAGCCTAAGTATTTGCCAAGGGCTTAACGTAAGTAACTGAAAGAGAAGCCACATGTTGAACAACCTTAAGTACTCGCAATGTAAATATGTCAATCTTCCTACTCTTCCTAAATGAAAAGATTTGTTACTGGGCTTTCTATATTTGAAGATTTTTTTCTAAGAAGAGGTTTACATGCATAGTGGTGAATAGCATTATTTTTTGGAGGGTGTAGGAATTTTGTTCTCTGATAGTGATATATTAGACAGGTTACATTATATATATATATATATATAAAAAATATTTAAAAAGAAATACATGTTTTTGTTTATGAAGTTGGTAGAACTGCTCATTCATCATCACTCAATTCTTGTGTAACAACTAGCTCTGGGCTCCTTAAAGTGTCCATTTTTTGCCTGTAGGAATCTAACACTAATTGGATAGTCTGTCATGTGCAGGTTGTCTTTACACAACACTCTATAAAGACCTTTCTTGCCACTGAGATGATTTTGTCAAAATCTACTTTCAGTTCACTGAACTGAGAGTGAATTTTTCTAAGCCACTTTCCTAATTCTTAGGCTCTGTACCTGTTTCAACAAGCTTTATGTTTGCTTCTGCTATGACTATTTTCCAGAGATTAATATAAATTTGTTAAGATTTCATTGATGACACTGCAAAGATTCAAAGTTGCCTCTAACAACTGGAGTACCAGGCTCTGCCATCTGAGAAAAAACCCAAAACAAAAAACCAAAAAAACCTCACAACTTTTCAATGCTCTGTGGTTACTCAAAGAAGCATTTAATTGGTTAAATGAAAGGACTAGTCAGAATATCAGATTTTGAGGGTATACAGTGGCATTATTTATTGTCAGGGAACACTATTCTCTTTAAAAGCCTTGAAAACTGCAATTTAATTAAGTGGAAGCCTCTCTCTGATTCTCACATTGGAGAATATATTCCATAAAAGAAAGAGTGTGCTCCATTTTGCTTATTAAACTAATGTCTGCTCATCTCTTCCTTCCTTCCAACCACTCAGCAGTCCACTCAATCAATTTGTTGCTGTTGCCTAGTTATCAGGAGTTCAATTCTGCTACCATTGAGGGAACATTGATTCAGCAAGGGAGGATTAGTCCCAGACTGAAGACAGATAAACTAAAACAGAAGTTCTTACAGACTTTCTACTAACAAGATGTTACTTTTATTAGGGCATTTAGAGTTGCTTCTGTTTGGCAGGCTAACAGCACTTGGTTTAGTAGGTAAGATGTCAACACAATGTTGTATCACATCATGGTTTCTTGTCTAAGGGACTTCTAACAGAAGTGTTTGTAATTTAACTGCTTTAAAGATACTGCTTGTATGCATGTAGGAAGTTGGGTGCATCTTCTCTAGCTTGACTAGAAGAAAACAATTATCATTTATTACTGTTGGGCAGAGCTTAGGAAGGCCCTGACCACAGCTGGTAGGGTAATGATCACAGTTCTTAGCAATCTGTCAAGAATTTCTGCCGTGTGGAGCAAAGCCCACCAGGATCTGAGCACTGACTTTAAAGGCAAGATTCCCGTCAGTTTCAGTTCACTTCAGCACTTGCAACTTTTGGCTCTCACTGCATTCTGATTTTATCGGCACATCCCTATCTCACACCTGAGCTCAAGGGAAAGGCATTAAGCTTGCACTGACCCGACTTGGCATGTCCCCAAATCCCAGCTGTACAGGTTACCACTGACCCTGAAACAGCTCGAACAGAATACTAAAGTAGTAATTAATCACTCCTTCTCCTTAACAAGGCTAATTGCCTAAGGGTTGATGCCTTGCTGACGCAACTGTTCTGTGTCTGCTTTTCAGTAACTTCAGCATTCTGCACAGTAGCAGGCAGTCACAGACACATCCATCATCCTTTATACAAGGTACTCATGACTCTCCAGCACTGAAAGAAAGGCAAATACGCTTTTCTGTTCAGGAAAGAGATGTTAGTCTGAGAAATAACTAAAAATCTCAAACTCATACCTCTCTGATAGCTGTACAAAACTCACTCTGCAGCACCTTCTTTAGAGACTGTAGCTTGTGTACTGGTACTTCTCCAGATTCTTGCAGTTTCTCCAGTAACTCAATTGCTCTTGCAACATCTGAGTGGGGAAAACAAAAGGAACACAGATCAGTATAAACGGTGACTAATAAGTGACTAAAAAGGGCACACTGGTGGCCATTTTAGATTTTAAATCGGCTTTACCAACACATACTGTATTACTCTTCTGTTATACCAAAGTCTGCTAGGAAACAATGCTGCTGTTGAGAGATCCAAATCCCAAAGTATGGACAAACCATGCACTTACATGTACAACAGACCCAGAGAGGTTCAGTCTTAGTAGCGAACACTCTTTGCAACAAAGCTACCAGTTCAAAGCAGCTAATTCATATTAGAACAAAATATTTCTTACTTTCTGCATAAGAGAAAATAGTACAGGAAAAGAATTGGGTTTACTTTCAGAAAGTCTAAAAAAATGAAGCTGTGTCTTTATGTAAGCACCCTCAGGGTGACAACACCCAAAAAAATATTTGATCTTTTCTTCTCATAAATCTAAATCTAAATATCAACTAATAAAGTTTTCCAGAAACAAGTAAAGTCTGCTCTGGAAGAGTAGGAAATCTGCTAGAGAAGAGTAAATATAAGGTTCTTGTCTAGGTCTCCAAAGACTTGATCTACCACACAAAACCTATATGACCCATAGAAATACATGGAATAGTATTTTTGGTGGCCTGAATTCTCCTTAAGCACCTGTGTATTGTCAAGGGAAAGATCTAAGTGTTTCTGAAGAGAAGTCCAGAGGGCTTCTGAGTGGTTAGCAGGAATCTGATACAGTTGAACAGTGCCCATACCCTCACTCATATTTTTTCTCTTTAACACTAGTTTCTAATTTACATAGCTATTACTAAAATACCTTTAAAAAGAATCAACCCAACTCATGAGATGCCCAACAATCCTTTATGGCTGAGGACACAGGAGCACAAGAAATAGTGGCTAGAGTCATGGAGGCTAGCCTAGTCAAGCGAGGGACACACTGACTTACACGTAGGAGTGAACTGAGCAAAACATTCTGGTCAGCCTTCAGGATGACAAGAACTTAAATACAGGGATTTTTCCTCCTCTGTCATCTAATGCTGCCTTGCAGCTTTTCCTCTAAGTTTGCTAGTATAGTTGAACCTGACAGTGCTGTTATCTTGACTGTGTGGTCATTCTCAAATCTTATAGTGTCTTTTGCATAGCAATCAAAGCCACTACTGGCCAGTTTCACCACTCTACTAAATACAGGTCTGTGTTCCAGTGATGAAATGAATGTACAGTACTAAATGATAAAACAGTATTTGAAGCATTTTAATTCTGTGCTTGAAGTGCAAAAAAAAGAAAAAAGAAATATTTCCCCCCACAACTCCAGAATTACTACAATGTCTAGAAGCAACCTTACATAATTCTCCTTTCTGATGGAAAAGATTATACTGTTTGTGACTGGGAGATTATGCTAATTGAAACAGTTCTTACAATCCTTGGCTTGTAGCTGGGCTATACTGACTAGATGTCTGATACAACAAAGACATGAGAAATTTTCTGAAAACAGAAAAGACATGACAGTAGATGAGCTGCAATAGGAATTAAATCATAATCCTATATTTTCACTTGGAAGAAAATAATTATTATCCAGCTGCATTGGTGTTAGGAAAAGAGAAGATGACATCTTAAAAGATTTACAATTTAATTAAAAGAGGTAGGCAACTAGTCAGCATAGTCAATTCTGCCTTAGTAGATTAACACCCAAATAATTCTCAAGCTTTTTTAGAGGCATTTGCCAAATGCAGTTCAACGCATAAGAGGAAGCATGGCAGAAAGTACACTGTTTCTTTCAGGAGGATGTTTCCACTTACCTGGCTGTACCTTGCATGCAGAGCAGTCTTGGAGTTCATGAACTTTCAGATGAAACTAACCCTAATCTTGTGTTAAAAGATTGCATCTGAGCTTTTGCTCTACGCAGTGCTTTAACTGCTATTGGGCATCCAGTCCATGTTACTAGATCACAGGTATATCAACAACAACCCCTCTTACTGAAGTGATGATGAGAAAGCTAAAAGGAGATCTAGAAAATAATAAGGCCATGGAAATCAAAAAAAAATTAGATTCTAGAGAGAAGAATATGACTGATGGGACATAACACATCAAAGAGAATGGTTTTAAGATTAAAGAAGAGGTAAGTATACTTTTCAGCAAGAACCATCTCAGTGGATTGAAAAAGAATGGTAAAACATTAAATGAAATATCATAGAATCACAGAATTGTTTAAGTTGGAAACCTAGTATGAAAACCTAACATGATTTTTTATGTTCTCAGTAATAATAAGGTTAAGGGATTTTTTAACAAAGCTATTGAATCATTTGCCTTGGAATTTTTCTTTTAAAGTCTGTATCTGCCACACAAGACTTTCATTTAGTTAAATACTAAACTCACACTCCCCAGTTATTAGTACCAGTTGGTGCAAACTGGTATGTCAGACAGCACAAAGCAATTGGATGATTTATTCTGAAAGAACTTCAACATCCCACCATAATAGATCAGATAAGGTCTCCACAATTTATGTGATACACGATGATAAATCCGGGGTCTGGGGTGACAAATCTGGGGTCTTATCCAGTGCTAGTTCAGGTAAATTTTGAACTGTCTTTGCCTCTCACCAGCAATACTTGTCAAAGATAGTACCAGACATGTCCGATTGGTTGCTATTTTGCAGGTTTTTTTAAGTTTCATCACCACACCTGAAAATTCTGTGAATCACCCCAAATTTGCTATGGTCCTGAACTAAACTGTATTCAATGAAAAATTTGTACTGATTAGAGTGAAACATAAAAAGCTTTATGTTCATTTATCAATCTATAACAGTTAACTATAGGTCTAAGTATTTCCCTAGGATGTGGGCCAGACTCTAGATGATAATTAATCACTTCTAAAGTGATGAGTGTTACAATACAAATGATAAATTCATATTCCAGTTGAAAAGTCTGGCATGGGTGCTTAGTATGTAGTCTCATAGGCAAAACTGGGCACTAAGTTGTCATTAGCCAATACTAGATTACTTAACTTTCTGACTAAGAAGTGACTTGAGGTTAAAAAAACCCCAGAATATCCCAAGAGCACTCTGATTTCACACTTATAAATTCATCCACCATTCTAAAATACATGAATGCTGATGCCCAACACCCTGCTTTTTATTCAACTATCTGTTTACAATAAACAGTCTTCTTTCTCTTATCACCATTAGGCCCATAACTTGCTCAGTTTGACCTGTGGGATATTGCTCACAGTAGAGATATTGTAGAATAATATATAAATTACAGAAAGAAAATGAAGCATGTGTTCAGGGCCAAAGATGTTTGTTATCAGCTGATACTTTGTCATAAACAAAATACAACAGTTGGCATAAAACAGAAGACTTTGAGCAGACTAAAAATGTATTAACATGAGTGTATAAAATAGGACCTCATGAAATAGGCTGTATTTCCTTCCATTAGTAACTTTGAAGACTTGAATGAACAATTGCTTTTGGACAGGTTAAAAAGTGAAATTTATCAGTGCACAAGAACTTAAGTGATGCATAGGTTTTTTGCTGCATTGGCTTTTTGCCGATGGTACTCTCAAGTTGAGCTCCAGCTAAAACTAGACTGTTTGCTCAAAGAAGTGATATGACTGGCAATGAGGAAGACTTCCAAGTTACATTATTTCCAAGCACATAGCAGGGAATCCACCCCTGTTGAAGTCAATTAGAATTGTCATATGTTTGATATATACTGTTAGGATAATTTTCCTGTCTCAAATTGTCCTCTGATTATAAATCTAACTAGCTTTGCTTGTCGGTGTTATCACCAAGGATTTTTGCTTAGATACCATTTTCTTACATACTTGTGCAAAGGGCAAATTGCTGAGAAGAGTGTGTGTGTATTTATATAGATATATGTTAAAACAGTCCCTGGAATTAGTTAAAATTAGTTAAGTTCTACACAAAGGAAATACCCTTGCTTTTTATTTTTGTGTATTTCTTTTGTCCTTTCTTTAAGCAAAGATATTTAACTCAACTTTTGAAAACGATTGTTTTGCCTACTCTCAAACATTTTCTAAAATATGAACGCCATTATACTAAAATGAAATTCGCGCTAATGTCATTGAAATTTATCTTCATTTCCCCCATTCATATCCCACAAATTGATAGGAATTGACTGATGATGTGGGTAGAACTGTTCCTCTGTATTCTATGATGCATACTTTTTAAAAGGAATATGCACGTATTTCCCCCCTTATCATAGCCAACTCACACTCCACCTTTTTTAATTATCTCCTTTTTTCTGATTTCCTCATAGATATGCACAATTCCTTTCTCTCTCATTCTGTTTAACATTCGTTTCTCTTTTTTCTTCTCATCATCATGCTTGCCTACAGCCTTTCAGGAAATAATACTGTTTCAGTGTGGTGGGTCATGTTATCAGTGGAACACAGAGAAGGTAGGAGGCTGCAGGTAGGTGGAACATATTTTATCAAGTGCACTCATCAGAAGAAAAGCATGACTCTCAGAAAAAAATCTTCATTTCAAGTGTTCTTTCTGTATTTTCACTTGAATGATGCTTCATTTGCACTGCTAGCAGGACACAAGCAGAAGATTACTATGCAAACCCTGAGAAGAATCACTAGGACATTCAAGTAGCAAGATAACATACTGCAGTACAAGTGGAACACTGTATACATCATGTATACACAGATATATAGCACAAGGCAATTTAAAAAAAAAAAAGGTCAACTGGCTTAGTTATCATTTTGTTCTGTTACATTTTGTTTTCCCTTGCTGGCTCTTTTTCAAACAGCTAGCAACGAACACTGCAGACTGATGTTTTATCTGCTAGATGTTTTAAAAAGCAAATGCTTCTTCCAGTACAGCTTTTACAACTCGACAGCAAATTATGAATCCACAGAACGAATCTTGGCTGGTCTGAACTTGGTGCTCTTTCATATTACCATTAAAATTGCCTAGACCAGCCTCCAGCATTCTCTGAAAATTGTTTAGCCTGTGGTTTCACTCTGGTAGATTTTGTGCAG